GCCCACCGTTTCGATTGATCACGTGGTCAGCGAGCGGCTCTTGAACGAGAATTGGCAATATCTGCGGTCAGCGAACATGACGTATATACACCAATCATAAAATGTCGACCATGGCCCAGTTGCTTGAAGGCCGATTAGCGCAAACCCAGGGTTAAATTTCAATCCAGGTTTCTATATTTCTCTGTTCAAAAGCCGTTTCGGGACAATTTTCCCAATTCTTTTTAGAGCACTCAATCATCAAATTGTAGACAAATGGAATTAAACTGAACTTTCTTAAAACCGTTTAGATCTAATTCAAATTTCACACTAAATTCACACAATTTGGAAATAGAGATTTCATCGAGTGCTCCTCATCCTGTTACCTCAAATACAACAAAACAATAATTCGAGACGGTTTTTCGATCATTTTCTTATTGCGCATTATATATTCACCTCTTCACCCGTATATTAGGATGTGGCAGGAGGGCACGGGTGCCTGCTTCCTTGCCTTGTAAAGATTGCGAAGACATATGCGTTCGCCGATGGTACAAACACCAAGTCGAGCTAACTCGCTGTCTGGAGCTGAAATTACGGTGTCAACCTCCACTTTCTCATCACTAAATCTGTCAACTAGAGTTCCCAAATTCAGTTCTCGAGATATGTCATCCATAAATTTAAAAGATAAAAATTACCTGTAAGGTTACGGTTTAGACGAAGGCAGGAAGAAATTGCTCTTGGCGCGTTATCGGTCTGTACGTCATGTATCGTACATGTTGACTGACCATAGCTGCTCGCTGACTACGTGATCAATCTCAACAGTGGGCTCTGGGACCAGTCTCACGAATACGACGCGAACATGTGCTTTGGAGTAGTTTAGATGACCAAATATACTGGCTCAGCAAATACCATGTTTCAAAAGCACCAAAACGTTTAATACACAACAAAACGTCTAACAAGAGATTTAATATCCAACAGGCCAAACTGTTATTTCAGTGCGGGCGAATTCGCGGATATTTCTGGAATACAAATGTCGCGTGATATTTGTACTTGTCTCGCACGTCATTTGTCCTCTACGAAGCAAAGTTGGATAATGCAACTTAATATTATTCAATAGTTAAAGTTGAGAATCACTGAGCTTGTTTCTGAGTTACAGGCAAATCATGCTAAAAGTTAATTGTTTAACCTCCATGAGTGACTAAGACAGAATTTCTCCTTACAATATCAATACAATATCAAGCTGACAAGTGATGAGCACAAAGACAAATGTCAATTAGGGGATTATGGGTTGATCCAACACCAAATTCTCCAATCCAGCATCATTAGAAATGTATGAGAGTCAATAAGGAGAACTGCTACTGAGATCTTGGAAGTGAATGATTGGGGGTGGG